GGGGGGGGGGGGGGGGAGGGGGGTTATTCAGCATTGGATTTTTCTGTCAAACTTTTCTTTGGTGATGTTTATCAGATATTAGAAGCTAAGGACTTTGCAGTTATTTGGCCCAAATTTTCACATTTGTACAAGGGGAATTTGATATGATCAATGTATGAATCACAAACGTTCTTCAGCCAAATTCTAAGGAGTTTGTTTGATGCGCAGACTAAATTATTCCGAAATTATAATTCCAGAATTAATTCATATCATATGAGAAGTAAGATAAAATAATTTCAAGTTTGACGACTATCGTATATGGTCTTATCTTACCTTATTTCTCGTACCAAAAGACCCCCCCGATGGTTATGTTGTGCATGGATATGCCATATTTCCAACGTGAAAGGGGAAAAGGCCAATTTTGTTGACTTTGGTAGTGGGCAGGTGCCCAAGAACGAAGTTGCTAGTTTCTAAATGGCAGGAAATGATGTAGCTAATCTTAGGTTCCAGCTATTTCTTCTCCCATATGAGTTTGTACTTGTTTTTATTACTATTTCTTTTTATTTTTCTTAAGCTGGATTTATAAGAAACAATCTTTATACCTCTTTAGGCAAGGTGCCTGTACAGATTACCTGTGTACACGCTCGTTGCTCTCCTCACTTAACTCAAATATCTTTTTTCTAGCGAACCTTGTAGATTGTAAGAGTATTTCAAATGAAAGTATTTCAGAGACTTTTCTTTTTCTAAAAAAAGTAGGACATTCCCCAACAACTTTTTGTCCAATTTCAATAATTGTTTTGCCCAATTCAACTGCATTTATTTGTCCAAAGACTTTAGCATAGTTGAATGTATCTGCTTTGAAATGTCAAAACTACAAATCACTATTCTGCATAGAACTATTTCATCACCTGTCTCTTCAGTCTCTCTTCTTCTCCTTCCAAACAAAAAAAAAGATAGAAAAAACCCCATCATCAACATGACCAGTCACACACTGTTCGCTCTCCTGCTGCCGCTCGCCGCCGTACTGACACTTGTCTCCGTCGTCAGCGCCGCCGGGGCAGTGAGCACTTCTGACTTTCAAATTATCACGAGAGAAGAGAGAAATTACAGGCAAAAGAAAGTAATTGACATTTCCCATAAATATGTTCCTGATTTGCCAGCTTTCGGTTCAAAAAATGGGTTAGGCAACTTCATAAGACTTCAGACAAGTATCAAATTGGGTGATCTCTCAAATGATTCAGTCTTCAACCTTTCTACTCATTCTGGTACACATGTTGATGCTCCTGGACATTTCAATGAGACTCTTTTCGAGCTCGGTTACGATGTCGTTTCGCTTGATCTCCGAACCTTAAATGGTAATGCTTTTGCCCATCTCTTTATTCTTTTCTATAAAACTGAAAATCATCTGTTTCAGAATTTTGGGATAACTTTAGTTTTGTAAATTTAGGTCCTGTTCTTGTAGTGGAAACTCCACGGGACAAGAATATTACAGGTATGGTCTTTTGTTAAACAGTAAGCATATGTATCGGTTTAGTTTTGATTTCTGAAAAATAATTTTTGTTTGGATTTGGTTTTGAAAAAATTGGCAATTTTTCGTTGTTGAAGGGCATTTTCTTAAAAACAGCATTTTGACTGTTTTTCGTTTTTCAGCTGTTTTATGGAAAACAGCTTTCTTTCTAATATACAAAAATTTATAGCCTGATTTGCCAAGCTGAGTGTTTTTAAAAAAAATATTTTTGGATAAAAACAGTTTGTGTTTTGATAATCAATTTGAAAAGCACTTTTGAACAATAATTTGTGTTTGGCCAAGCTTTTCAAAAAGTGCTTTTATGTGTCAAATTACAAATAAGCACATGAAGAGATTTGCTTAATAGTTAATATTATATAAGTAGATAAATAATTATAATTTTTTATTATTAAAGATAATAATTAAGTTTTTTATTTTATTTAAGTAAAATATAAAAATAAAATTGAAAAGTACTTTATTCTTTCAAGATAATTTAAATATATCAAAAATCATCCAATAAATATGAAAGTTCATCCCAAAAGTCATTTTATATTACTTAATAGTTTAAACTAAGTAAGGTTATTTTGATATATATAATATTTTGCAAAGGGTATTTTTGATAGGAATACTAGTCAAAACTGCTTCTGCTTCTGGAGAGAAGTTATTTTTTTCTGCTTCTTCAAAACTTCTTCTGCTTCTAGCCAAAAGTACTTTTTTTTCAAAAAATAAATTGGCCAAACACTTCAAATTGAGGAAAAAAGTACTTTTTTTGAAAAAAAACCCAAACACTTTCGGCATGCTAGAAGCTTCGCCAAACAAGCTATTAATCACTTTAATCTATCTTTTTAACTTTAGTTGCCTTAAAGCTTGTATTTCTTTGGGACCCGTGTTAGTTTTAGATTGTTTTATTAGCTATAAGGTGTTAGTACAAGAGTGCGTAATGCAGTAGAGAGACAGATCTAGGATTTGAAGTTTATGAGTTCTACCGTAATGTCAAATTAATATATAATAATAACTGGGTTTACATTTAGATATTTATAAATATTTAGTGGATTTCTAAATAGAAATACAACGTCTATTCAAAAGTTACTGGGTTCTCGGAAACCCAGTAACAATACTCTAGATGCACCACTGATGCAGTAGGTTAGTAAGTTAACAACAAACCCAGTATAATCCCACAAAGGGTTCTAAGGAGGATAACGTGTACGCACACCTTACCCGTACCTTGAAGGTAGAGGGGTTATTTCCGATAAATCCTCCGAGGTTAGTAAGTTGAAGAGACAAAATAATTTGGCCTCAAAAGTATAATGGTATGTGGAAATTTTCTCAATTGAAATGGTTAAAATTATTACTTGTACTAGATGGGATGACTAAAACTACACTAAGTCATTTTGTTCGCTGACTATCTAGCCAAAGAGTAATTTAAAGGCCTACTGACATTCTTTTTCATATGCATTGCCAAAATTCTTACTAGTTGAGTCTTTCTGAAAAGAAAAACCAAACAAAACAGAGAATAGATCATCTCTTGTTCTACCCCATACCTTATACAATATTTTGCTCTCAATGGGACGAAACATAAGAGTTTTGCTTGTTTTCTTGTTAATCAGCTGAAGTGATGAGGTCATTGAACATACCCCGAGGAGTAAAACGTGTTATCTTTCGAACATTAAACACCGACAGGTACTTATTCCTTTGTTCATATTTGGTGCAACCCTGCTAAAATGCCTACACAAGTTAGTTCTTCATTTTGTCATCCGTGTTGTGTTTAATGTATATACTATATTTTTTGAATGTAAAACAGGAGGCTGATGTACAAGAAAGAATTTGATTCCTCCTATACAGCATTCACCTCAGATGGAGCAGAGTATCTGGTCCAGAATACTGACATCAAACTGGTTGGTGTTGATTACTTGTCTGTCGCAATTAATCCCAAGGATCAGCTCACTAAAGTTCATCAACTTCTTCTGGCTCCTAAAGTAAGTATAACATCCATTTGCTCATTTCGGTTTACCTGTAAGATTGAAAACCCCTTTGTTGAAGAATAGTATTTTAAGTTTCTTGTTTACTACCAGCTGCATAATATCTACAAATTTCACTTGCTAATCCGTTTCGCTTCTCCACCATGTGGCACTCCATTGTCTTGAGCAGCAAGTGTTCTTCTTTCTCTTAGAACTCTTAATAGAGTCCTCTTTGTTTTGTCGTTTGTAATATAAAGGGAAAAGGGTCAGATATACCCTGTACTATTGAAAATAGTCTATATTTATACTCCATTATACTTTTCGTCTAAATTTACTCCTACCGTTAGCGTAATGAACAATTTTACCCCTAACCCTAACGGTGCTCCACAATGATAGCAATCTCATCAATTAAAATGCCAACGTGGATTCGATGTCATAATTTTTTTACATTAAATAACTAAAGGAACTTAAATCTAATAACCCACTTAAATCTTGTTCTCTTCTCTGATTGAACATTATCATCATGCTTCGGTACATCCACCTTCCGATTTGAATCATTCGATGTGATCAATTTTAATGCCTCCGCATTGTTTGATTGTACATATTCAGACTGTTCGAATCTCATTCGGCTTGAGATCTGAATCACTCAACTCATTCGATTTAGTCAAATTCTCGTCAGATTTCGAGGCTTTTGAATTGTATATCCCCTGGTTGATTAGCAATTCTTTGGATTCGTCGAGCTTCGAATCTATCGCTGAATTGAACAGTCAAAACTGAGAAAGTAAATGGATCTGAATCCATTTGAGACATGCCTGCGCAACCAAAAATAGATTTTGTGCAGCATTTTTTCGAAAGAGTTGTAGATTTAAAACTAGTGAATAGAGTCAAATCTGTTTGAAAAAATACAGCGAAGAGAAAAAGATAAATCAGAAAGGGACTAAACTTTCTCTAATTAACAAATGTAAAGTTACTTATGTAGCCACATTGAAGTTTCTTTATTGTTTTTTTTATATATACGGCCGATGGTGCTTCCTCCTACTGGATTGCGCCTCTGCGGGATTTGTCACGGCGGCCGGAGCTTTGGAGGAGAAGACTAAATTTAAGTGGGTTTAGTTTTTTTTTAAAGCAAATATTGTACAAAAATTATGACATGGAATCCACATTGGCATTTTAATTGATAAGATTGTTGCCATTGTGGAGCACCCTTAGGGTTAGGGGTAAAATTGTTTATTATGCTAACGGTAGGAGTAAATTTAGACGGAGTAATCTGACCCTTTTCCCTAATATAAAGTGAGAAGTCCCACATTGACGGCCCAAAGGCCTTTTTAAAGGCTTTATAAGTAAAATTCTCCAAGTAATTTAGAATAATAGTTAATATTCAATTTTGAATAAAACAATATATGTCTATTAAATGTTAATGAAATACTATGTGTATTCAGAATAGACTTGGTTTACAACAACAACATACCCAGTATTATCCCACACCGTGGGGTCTGGAGAAGGTAGTGTGTACGCAGACCTTATCCCTATCTTGTGAAGATAGAGAGGCTGTTTCCAATAGACCATTGGCTTAGGAAAGCATAAGCAACAACCACATTAATGAGAATAGACATGGTTTCACTTCTATAAATTCAACTTTTTACTATTTTTCTGAGAGGTGGCTAAGTTTGCAGTATCTGTTTGGATTGTATCTCGCAGAAACTTGTTTGTATTCTCCTAAATGCCAATGTTTCTTCAAGGAAAATGGAACCTTGAAGAAACTTGTTTGTATTCCCCTAGATGCTATATTTCATCAAGGACAGTGATTTTTCAAGCTTCAAAGCTTTCTTTGAATACTTTTTTCTAATACTCTCTAGGTTTTATCTATGCTTTTACTTGGTTACTAACTGTTAAGTATTCTTTTTATATGCATCAGGATATAATTCCGGTGGAAGGCCTCAAGCTTGATGATGTCGTCCCAGGAGTTTACACAATTCACTGCCTACCTCTGAGGTTGAATCATGGCGATGGTTCACCTGCCAGGTGCATCCTCTTCCATTAATCATGTCAAGGCAGCTAATACTTTTTCACGGAGAAAATTGTCAAAATTTCAACCAGTTTCGTTAACTAAGAATGTTCAAGAAATTGTTATGAGACTTACATGTATTTATGTACTAGCTTCCTTTAGCCTTATCGACCCATGTGACTATGCAGTAGTAGAGATGGTACTGATGTTTATTCATGTTATTACGTGGATCGTATATTCCTAGCTATTCTTCTTGCCTTACTGAGACACATGACTTAGTTCATTTTAAAGAATCATATTACGTTCTCGTCTCCCTCTCCCTTCTGTATAAGTCTTCTCTAAAGCTGAGAGTTCTCGTAGTCAATCTCTCTGCACTTGGCCTGAATCGGAGAGATTAAGAGGGAATGCATTTTGCACAACAAGAAGAAATGGTATTTGAAAAAATATGTTATGGGGTGAGAGAGGCTCGAACTCTCGACCTCAGGATAACTCAGAAGCTATGAGACCTACGCGCTAGCCAACTGCGCCACCACCCCTTGATGGTGTGTGGGTACATTCAATCCTAAATGTAAACGCTTTTATTTCACGTGTCTATCAAATTAATCAACAAAAACTTATACTAGCTAATAGCATTTCGCGATGGTAATCTGAATAGGGTCATAGATAAGGAGTTCGAAAATTGATGTTTCTTTGGAAAAAATTCCAAGGTCCAAATTGGAATAAATTCTAAGGTCCAAACTTAAGGTGGCATTCGGGCAGTTGGAATTGGATATGAAAATTTTGGTTTGGATATTCAGTTTTCGGACCAAAAAATTACAATTCAAATCCAATCCATATAAGCTCGGCAAAATGGATTTTTCAAATTCGATTTCGAATTAATTGGATTGGATAGTTTGAATATTCGATTTTAAGTCAATAAGTTGAGTTTCTTCTTCTTACAAAATTTGAACATTCTGCATCCTTTGGTTACACCAATTTTTAGACCAATTGAAATCTATCAACTAAATTCAAGAAAATCATCATGTATACACGAAAAAATAAACATAATAATTAATTCATGTGTTATGACCCCGAAACGTAAAAAAATAATGTTAGTCATGATGAGTATTGCTCAGCCGTATCCGATGGTTCCATCAATTTTTAAACCAATCAGAGTCCATCCAATAAATTCAAAAACTTTATCATGTATATAAAAACTCATGAAAAAATGGACATAATCATTAATGTCTGTTTCATGATCCCGAACGCCAAAAAATGACGTTAGTCATGGTAAGTATTGCTCATAAGGCCATATCCAATAGTTCCACCAATTTTAGGCCAATCAGAGTCCGTCACCCAAAATCAAGAAAATCATCAATATACGAAAAATGGGCATAATCATTAATTCCTAAATCATAGTCCCGAAACTCCAAAAAATAATGCTAGTGATGGTGATATTGCTCATAATGCCATATCTGATGGTTTTACAATTTTAAGGTCAATCGGAGTACGTAGACTAAATTCAAGAAAATCATCATGTATACACGTAAAATGAACGTAAAAATTAATTCCTATTTTATGATTTCAAAACACAAAAAATGATATTTGTCATGGTGAGTATTTGCTCACTAGTCCTTATCCGATAGTTTAACTAATTTTTAGGCCAATCGGAGTCCGTCAATCAAATTCAAGAAAATCATCATGTATATAAACATACGAAAAATAGACGTAATAATTAATTCCTATGCCATGACCCCTGAAACTTTTTCGCGGGTATTATTAGTGCATGTCGATTTTGCATACGAAAAATGGACATAATATTAGTACATGTCGATTTTGCAAAAGTTTTGACAGACTCCGATTGACCTGAAATTTTGTACGTCCATAAGAAACGGCTTGGTGACCAATACTTATTGCTTCACAATGATTTCGTGTTCATTTTATGGTATTTCGAGGTCATGCAACATGAATTTGTAATTATATCTATTTTTTTGTGTGTATTGGTGCATGTTGATTATGTAGAAACTTTTTTGACGAACTCTGATTGGCCTGAAATTTTGTAGGTCCATAGGAAACGACCTACTCACCAATATTTATTTCCTCGCCATGACTTTCGAGTTTATTTTATGGCGTTTCTGGGTCATGTGTAATATTTCGTAATTTTTTTTTAGAAAAGGGCATATTGGTCATTTTAGCAAACTAATTAAAAAAAAACCAAAAAGGGGGATTAGGGCCAAAACCCATTACGGGAGGCACAAAAAGGCAAAAATCTAGGCGTAGAAGCCATTAAGCTTCGGCAGAAGCATTCAAGGCAATAGAAAAAAAGAAAGGAAAAAAGAAAAAGGAAAATCCTTGTTAGCCACTTTTGAGAATCAAAGGAAACGTGAGGTTTTAGTTTTCTGCCATTGAAGAGGACCACAAGTATTCAACACAAAAAGCTAATTACACAGATAAGAAGAAGGTAAATTTCTAAACTTAATTCATAGATTTGATTCATAAATTCCATGGCTATAGAGTTGGGGTTGAGAGTTAGTTGAAGAATTAATATTTATGAAATAATAGAGTCCATAGAACTTTTCATAAATTGGTGAATATACTATATGTTTGGGGTTATAAACTTATATATTTGTGTATATACCAATAAAAAAAAGGATATTCCTTTAGAAATTTTTCTGTATCATTAGTGATTGGTAAACAAATATGATTACTACTAATATTAGTGATATTGAAAAAAAAGATTACAATGGAATTTTATAGCTGTGAGTTGGGATACTGAAATGGGTCTTGATATTTCAAGTAGAATAAGAGGAATTATTGGGTAAATATAATTCAACGAATTAAGAGCCAAATATAAAACTCGGAGGATTGGGTATTCTAAATTAGTGATGAATTTAGCCTAAATGAGGCAATTAACACGAGATCGATGTCGATGTGGTTATAGATTGATTGAAGAAAGGCGTACGGATCGCTCGAGGTGACGAGTTTGGTATTTCACACGAGTACAGTGAGTAGTAATCTTACTGCAATTTGTGTTTTCATAACTTGCATGATTTACACATAATTTTTAATATGAATATGTTACCGATTATTTTGAGTTGCATGTGGAACAAGTTTTTTACTCGATATGATACCGAAATAGTTATTTGAGATGATTACCGTTGTTTTAAATATTCTTGTTGTCACTAGATATGTTTTACCGTTACTTGAATTTACGGTTATCGAAATAAAATTACATGATTTGATAAGAACCGAAATGCCCTATATTATTTTAAAATATTTTCTTATGAGTATATATGAATCACAGAGACAAGTATAAATGAGAGTAGATTTTGAAGGATCCCGTAGCTAACGGCGGGTTCGTTAGACCTGTTGCACCTTGTAATTACCGATTACCGTTACAACCCTCGCTAGTGGGAAGGTAGAACTAGCATACCGTTACTGATTTCCTCGAGTAGGGACTACCGTTATATTTGACTTCTTGCAAAGAAGTCCACAATTATACCGATTACATGATCTGTTCATTGTAACCTCCCAAACTTGAATATTGATATTACACAGTATTTACCGAGCTTATTACCGAATTGTTAATTGATTTATATTACATGAAAAACATGATGAGACTGATTATTGTTTTTTTGTTTCTGAAAGGGCATTCTTATGATATTTTCTGTTTAATATATACACTAACATGCTTTCTGACTTGTCCCCAATAAAAACGATTGTGGTTAAGTGTTATTACTCACTGAGCTAGCGACTCATTCCCCGCTAATTTTGTTTGCAAAGACAACAGTTGACGCGAGCGAGAATTTCGTTAATTAGAGCGCACAAGTTGATAGTTCTTGGTGAGCCTCGCACTTGTTCGCGTGGGCGGAGATTTTATTTATTGTTATGGTCTTTTCTTTGAACTCTTAGAGTCGCTCCATAATCATTCTTTTAGTGTCATAAGTATTCTTTTGTTATTATATACTTATGTTGAGTATCGCTCATTCTTATCAAAGTTGGAGATAAATTAGTATTTCTAGCTGTTAGTGGGTGGACTATTAATGGTAGATATTTGTTTTGGTTAATTGATAAAGTTATTGTTGTTTGAATTGATATTAGGATGTTGGTTATTGATTTGAGACAGGAAAATTTTTGGGATAGTCCAAAAACAGGAGAAACTCTGTCCAATTTTCTGTAAAATACCGATGAGGCTTACTTGGGGGCACTTGCTCCTAAGTGCCAGTCATGATCCTAAATTGGGTCGTGACAAATTTGGTATCGGAGCTTAGGCTTTAAGTCCCGAGTCATGGAGCAATATTTAGTAGAGTCTTGTTCATGGGTATGTAGGCGCCCATTCTTATGATCTTGAGGCTACCGAACATCTAGGAATGTTTTCCCTTCTTTCATTCTTTGATCGTGCGTTGAGATAACTTGAGATTGACTTTGGAGTATTTATTTCGCAGATGGCTAGGACACGCACACCCTCATCTGGGTGGCGGTCAAGTTGGGGTTCATCAAACTAGAAGACGGGCTGCTCCTCAACCTGAAGTTGAGAACATGGGTCAACCCCAAGCTACTATGCCAAATCAAGTGCAAGAATAGGGGGTTCAGGATGCTCCATCACAATACCAACTGTTATACCTACTGTTGCCTTACCTATAGACGCAGTGGCAAGGTTATTGAATGTGTTAGAGGCATTGGTGCCTACTCAGGGTGAAAATTCAGCTCCTCAGGCTACTTTACAGACACAAGCTCCTGCACAAACTCAGACTTTTGGGAATAAGGAAGTATCCCTACAAGAGTTCCTGAAATTGAAATCACCAAAATTCATAGGTTCTGATAATTCAGCAGATCCTCAAAGTTTCTTGGATGGGACACTCAAGGCATTGCGTGCTCTAGGATGTTCTAGTGAGAGGGTCGTGGATGTGGCCAGTTGTGACATCACTTGAGGGATTGCCCTCAGCCTCCAAGAAATTTCAACCAGGCTTCTACTCAGTCAGCTGCACCTACTCAGACTACTCGTAATACCTTAGGTGCTACAGGTACAGGAAATAGAGGTCGAGGTGTTGGAGATCGTGCTACTGTAAATCAAGGACAAAGGAATGCTGGTAGAGGTCAGGCAAGAGTTTTTGCATTTACTAGATAGGATGCTCAGGCCTCGAATATAGTGGTTACATGTATTCTTTCTGTCTGTTCATTTGATGCACTTGCGTTGATTGATCCAGGATCTATTCACTCCTATGTGTCCTCATACTTTGCTTTGAGGTTTAGTAGACAACTTGAGATATTGAATGATCCTTTTCTAGTTGCTACTCCTGTTGGGGAGTCTCTATTAGCTGAATATGTGTACCGTGCTTGTCAGATTTGGGTTGAGGGTAGAGATACTCTAGCTGACCTTATTGCACTTGATATGATTGACTTTGACATGCTGATGGGAATGGATTGGTTATCTTCTTGCTATGCTATCGTCGATTGTCATGCAAAGATAGTTAAATTTGAGATACCAAACGAACCCAGTTTTATTCTAAGAGGGAGTCAGGTTCTAGAGATTTGCAAAGTTGTATCCTTTATGAAGGCTCAACGACTTCTGAAGAAAGGTTGCTTGGGTCTCTTAGCTATTGTAAATGACACAAGAAAGGAAACAGTTAGTATAGAAAATGTACCAGTAGTGAGAGAATTTTCTGATGTATTTCCTGAGGATGTACCAGGATTGCCTCCAGTACGAGAAATAGATTTTGGTATTGATTTGCCACCTGACACACAGCCCATATCAATACCCCCATATCGGATGCCACCAACAGAGTTGAGGGAGCTAAAGCAACAGTTGCAGGATTTGCTAGATAAGGGTTTTATCAGACCTAGTGTATCACCATGGGGTGCACCAGTACTGTTCGTAAAGAAGAAAGACAGATCTTTGAGAATGTGCATTGACTACAGGCAGTTGAATAAGATAACAATACGCAATAAATATCCTTTGTCTCGTATAGACGACATGTTTGATCAGTTACAAGGAGCTGCCCACTTTTCAAAGATTGACCTTCGTTCTGGTTATCATCAACTTAGAATCAAAGATGAATATATTTCTAAGACTGCTTTCAGAACTCGATACGGGCACTATGAGTTTCTTGTGATGCTTTTCGGGCTGACTAATGCTCCAGCTGCATTCATGGATTTAATGAATAGGGTGTTCAAGCTGTTTCTAGATAGATTTGTAATAGTATTTATTGATGATATCCTGATATATTCTCGTAGCCAATGTGAACACGAGAATCATTTGAGGACTGTGTTGCAGACATTGCGAGAACATCGACTTTATGCTAAGTTCTCAAAGTGTGAATTTTGGTTGGACTCAGTTTTATTTCTGGGGCATGTGGTATCCAAAGATGGAATTGTGGTAGATCCTATGAAGACAGAAGTTGTGCAAAAATGGCCCAGACCTACTTCTCCTACAGAGATTAGTAGCTTTTTAGGCTTGGCAGGCTATTACATGCATTTTGTGCAGGATTTCTTCAGAATAGCAGCGCCACTGACCAAGCTAACACAAAAAGATACAAAGTTTCAGTGGACGCAGGAATGTGAGTAGAGCTTTCAGAAACTCAAAACATGTTTGACAACTGCACCAATATTAGCCTTACCATCAGGTTCTGAAGGATTTACAGTATTCTGTGACGCCTCAAGGGTGGGATTAGGATTTATTCTCATGCAAAATGGTCGCGTTATAGCTTATGCTTTGAGACAATTGAAAAGGCACGAGCAAAACTATCCTGCACATGATTTGGAGATGGCTGTAGTGGTATTTGCTTTAAAAATTTGGAGGCATTACCTATACGGTGAAACTTGTAAGATTTATAATGACCATAAGAGTTTGAAGTACATTTTTCAACAGAGGGATCTAAATCTTTCGCAGCGTCGATGGATGGAACTACTTAAAGACTATGATTGTTCTATTTTATATCATCCTGGAAAAGCCAATGTGGTGGTTGACGCATTGAGCAGAAAATCTATGGGAAGTTTGGCACATATAGTTCCTGCAAGGAGACCTTTGATTGAAGATATGCATAGACTAGAGGGTACAAGTTTCAGATTTAGTGTCAGAAATTCAGAGGCATTGTTGTCTTGTGTTCAGGCTAAGTCTTCATTAGTCGAGCGCATTAAGGCCACCCAATATGAGGATGAGCGATTTTGCAAATACAGAGATGAGGCCTTAGCTGGTAAAAACAAGAATATGATTGTTGAAAGTAATGGTGTTCTTCGAATGGGTGACAGACTATGTGTCGCAGACGTAGATGGGTTGAGGCATGCTATCCTTAAAGATGCCTACAACTCTAGATACACTATACATCCTGGATCCACAAAAATGTATCATAACATAAAGCAATTTTATTGGTGGGAAGGTATGAAGAAAGATGTTGCTAACTTTGTTTCTAGTTGTTTGACTTGTCAGCAGGTCAAGGCTGAGCATCAGCGACCCGCAGGACTGTTACAACAAATTGAGAGTCTAGAGTGGAAATGGGAAAGAATTACTATGGATTTTGTGACTGGCCTACCCCGTACTCTCAGAGGTAATGATTATGTATGGGTAATTGTAGATCGACTGACAAAATCAACATACATTTTGCATGTAAAGACTACATATTGTGAAGTAAGGTATGCACAGATATTTATGAACGAAATTGTCCGACTTTACGGAGTTCCAATAACCATCATCTCTGATAGAGGATCATAATTTACCTCACACTTTTGGAAATCTTTTCAAGAAGAATTTGGTACACGAGTAGATCTTAGTACTGCATTTCATCCACAGACAGACGGGCAGTCTGAACGTACTACACAGATATTGGAGGATATGTTAAGAGCTTGCATTCTTGAGTTTGGAGGTAGTTAGGACGCTTATCTACCTTTAGCTGAATTTGCTTACATAATAGCTTCCAGTACAGTATTCAAATGGCATCGTACGAAGCACTGTATGGTAGAAGATGTTGTTCTCCTATCAGATGGTTTGAAGCTAGTGAGACTAACTTAGTGGGACCCGACTTAGTACAAGAAGCTATGGACAAGGTCCAATTAATCAGGCAGAGATTGCTCATAGCTCAAAGCAAACAAAAGTCTTATGCAGATAAGAGAATAAGAGATTTAGTGTTCGCAATTGGAGACAAAGTGTTCCTACGAGTCTCTCCTATTAAAGGCATAATGCGGTTTGGGAAAAGAGGCAAGTTGAGCCCCAGGTTTATAGGACCGTATGAGATACTAGACCGAGTGGGAGCTGTGGCTTATCGCTTGGAACTTTCTCCTGAGTTGTCTTTTATTCATCCGGTGTTTCACGTCTCATTGCTAAGAAAATGTATATCAGACTCATCTCAGGTGCTTGAAGTACTTTTATATTTTTGATGAGAAGTTGTCTTACGAGGAGGGGCCGATGACAATTGTTGATAGATAAGTAAGAAAGCTACGGTCAAAGGAAATTGTGTTCGTGAAAGTCATGTGGAGAAACCATACAGTTGAAGAAGCTACATGAGAAGTGGAAGATGCTATGCGAGTCAAGTATCCTTATTTATTTCAGTCTACAGGCGTTTCTGGATCATGTGTAATATCTCGTAAATGTTTTTAGAAAAGGGCATATTGGTTATTTTAACAAACTAATTAAAAAAAATAAAAAATGGGGGATTAGGGCCAAAGCCCATTACGAGAGGCACAAAAAGGCAAAAGCCTAGGCTTAGAAGCCATTAAGCTTCGGCAGAAGTATTCAAGACAACAGAAAAAAAGAAAGGAAAAAGAAAAAAGAAAAATCCTTGTTAGCCACTTTTGAGAATCAAAGGAAACGTGAAGTTTTAGTTTTCTGCCATTGAAGAGGACCAAAAGTGTTCAACAAAGAAAGCTAATTACACAGAGAAGAAGAAGGTAAATTTCTAAACTTAATTCATAGATTTGATTCATAAATTCCATGGCTATAGAGTTGGTGTTGAGAGTTAGTTGAAGAATTAATATTTATGAAATAATAGAGTCTATGAATTTTTTTATGAATAGGTGAATATACTATATGTTTGGGGTTGTAAACTTATATATTTGTGTATATACCAATAAAAAAAAGGATATTCCTTTAGAAACTTTTTCGTTTCGTTAGTGATTGGTAGCCAAATATGAATGCTACTAATATTAGTGATATGGAAAAAAAAGATTACAATGGAATTTTATAGCTGTGAGTTGGGATACTGAAATGGGTCTTGATATTTCAAGTAGAATAAGAGAAATTATTGGGTAAATATAATTCGACGAATTAAGAGCCAAATATAAAACTTGGAGGATTGGGTATTCTAAATTAGTGATGAATTTAGCCTAAATGAGGCAATTAACACGAGATCGATGTTGATGTGGTTATAAATTGATTGAAGAAAGTCGTACGGATCGCTCGAGGTGACGAGTTTGGTATTTCACACGATTATAATGAGTAGTAATCTTACCGCAATTTGTATTTCATAACTTGCATGATTTACACATGATTTTTAATATGAATATGTTACCGATTATTTTGAGTTGCATGTGGGACAAGTCTTTTACTCGATATGATACCGAAATAGTTATTTGAGATGATTACCGTTGTTTTAAATATTCTTGTTGTCACTAGATATGTTTTACCGTTACTTGAATTTACGGTTATCGAAATGAAATTACATGATTTGATAAGAACCGAAATGTCCTATATTGTTTTAAAATATTTTCTTATGAGTATATACGGATTACAAAGACAAGTATAAATGGGAGTAGACTTTGAAGGATCCCGTAGCTAACGATGGGTTCGTTAGACATGGTGCACCTTGTAATTACCGATTATCATTACATCCCTCTCTAGTGGGAAGGTAGAACTAGCATACCGTTACTGATTTTCCTCGAGTAGGGACTACCATTATATATGACTTCTTGCGAAGAAGTCCACAGTTATACCGGTTACATGATCTGTTCATTGTAACCTCCCAAACATGAATATTGATATTACACAATATTTACCGAGCTTATTACCGAATTGTCAATTGATTTATATTACATGAAAAACATGATGAGACTGATCATTATTTTTTTGTTTCTGAAAGGGCATTCTTATGATATTTTCTGTTTAATATATGTACTAGCATGTTTTCTAACGTGTCTCCAATAAAAACGGTTGTGGTTAAGTGTTATTACTCACTGAACTAACGACTCATTCCCCGCTAATTTTGTTTGC